AATTTTATATTTTCAATACAGAAAACCTGGGATTCTGTAATCACCTTTCAGCATGTAGTATTTGCTCTACTGATTTAAGGCTTCCTAGTAGTGCAGTCAAGAGAAAGATGGGAATTGCTACTGATGTAAACAGGACCCACAGGGGGTCGCAGTGAGTCAGCACTGACTTGATGGCAGTGAGTTTATCTGTTATTATTCAGGTGTGCACACCGAACACTAAATAAAGCTAGTGATGAAGAAACTGAAGAATTCTACCAACTTTTTCTGTGGGAAATTGAGCAAACATGCAATCAAGATGTATTATAAGCATTAGTGATTGGAATGCATAGTGGGTTATGCATTGGACTGAAAGTCCAGCAGTTCAAATCCACCAGCCAGAGGCAGAAAGATGAGGCTTTCTACTCCCATAAAGAGTCTTAGAATCCCACAGGGGCAGTTCTACCCTATCCTATAGGGTTGCTATGAGTAGGAATAACTTGGATGCAGGGTGTGAGTGAGTGAGTAATGTAAAAGTTGGAAACCAAAAGAAAGAAAACTGGTTGGAAAATATGGCTTTGAGATCACATGATAGAATTGAAACTGCATATGGCCTTAGTAAGCTGTTGGAGCCCCGTTCAGTGTTCTCAACTCCATAGTTTAACATGTTTTTGTCTTTGCCGTTTTCCCATAAAGGTAGGAATTAATGCAATTATTATTGAATGATTTAAGGAGAAAAAAACTTGACAGAGTAACACTAATGCTCACGGGACATGGGTTGGAAAGTATCTGATTTCAATAAGTTGTTGTCGTTTGGTGCCATCGAGTTGGTTTCCCACCCATCATGACCCCATGCACTGAGAACAAAGCACGGCCCAGCCTGCACCATTGTCTCAAGTATTTCTCTATTTGAGCCCATTGTATCCACTGTACCAGTTCAACTCCTTGAGGACCTTCCTGTCCTTTGCTGCCACTCTACCAAGCATAATGTCCTTGTCTCGAGACAGGTCCCTCCTGACAACATGTCCAAAGTACATCAGACATAATCTTGCCACCCTTGCCTCTAAAGAGCGTTCTTACTCTATTTCTTCCAACACAGCTCAGTTTGTCCTTTTAGCAGTCTACAAACTTTCAATATTCATCATCAGCACAACAATTCAAATACATCAATTCTTTTTCCCTCTTCCTTATTCAATGTCTAACTTTCAAATGTACATGAGGCAATGTAAAATACCCTGGGCTGGGTCAGGCACACCTCAGCCCTCAGAGTAAAATCCTTGTTTTTCAACATGCTAAAGAGGTCTTGTGCGGCACATTTATCCTTTGTAATGCACTGTTTGACCTCTTGACTGCTGCTTTAATGAGCAATGATTGTAGATTCAAGGAAGAGGAAATCATTGGCAACTTCAATCTTTTCTTCATTTATCATGATGTTCCCTAGTGGTCCAGTAGTGGGGTCTTCTTTCCAGTTGCGATTCATACCAAAGGCTGGTTCCCTTAATCTTCATCAAGTGCTTCAAGTCCTCCTTATTTTGAGCTAGCAAGGTTGTGCCTTCTCTATATCTCAGGATGTTAATTTGTCTTCCCCAATCCTAATGCCACACTCTTCTTCATACAAGCCAGCATCTCTGATGACTTGTTTAGCGCACAGATTGAAAACATGCAGCATTCTCTTGTTCTGTTCCCACAACTGCCTCTTGAACCATGGACAAGTTTCAAGGGAGCATAATTAAATGTAGTATCCCCACTGTTCTCAAGGCTAACCTTATGATCCACATTGTCGAATGCCTTGGCATACTCAATGAAATACAAGTAAACATCTTTCTGCTATTCTCTGCTTTCAGCCAAGGTCCATGTGACATCAGCAATGTATCCCTTGTTCCATGTTGGAGGATCTTCAGAAAAATTTTACTTGCATGTGACATCAATGATACTGTTTTGTAATTTGAGCCTTCTGCTGGGTTACCTCTCTTTGGAATGGGTACAAACATGGTTCTCTTCCAGTCAGTTGGGCAAGTAGCTGTCTTCCAAATTTCCTGGCATAGATGAATGAGTGCTTCAGTGCTTCGTCAGCTTGTTGAAATATTTCAGTTGGTATTCCATCAATTCCTAAACGCTTGTTTTAGCTAACAGTTTCAGTACAGCTTGGCTCTTCCTTCCGTATCATTGGCTCTTGCTCGTGTGCTACTTCCTGAAATGGTTGAATGTTGACTAGCTCATTTTGGTACCGTGTCTCCATGTATTCTTTCCATAGTCTTTTGATGCTTCCCGAATCATTCAATATTTTGCCCAAAGAATCTCTCAATATTGCAACTCGAGGCTTGCATTTCTTCTTCTTTAGTTCTTTCGGTATAAGATATGCTGAGGATGCTCTTCATTTTTGGTTTTCTAACTCTAGGTCTTGGCACATTTCGTTTGGATAGTTTACTTTCCCTTCTGGAGCTGCTCTTCGAAATGTTCTGTTCAGCGACTTGACTTCATCACACTTTACAAGTAGCAGAGCGAATCTACAATGAAGAGTAAGCAGTCTCTTCTGACCTCCACTGTGATTTCCTTCCTCTCCTGTCTTTCTAATGACCCTTTGCTATCTTCATTTCTGACTGGTGGGCGGATCCCCAACTGTTCATATGTAAGTGCGGGTTGAAGCTCATGGAAATGGAACAAGTGTCCAGGAGCCGCAATATGAGTCTACCCCACCTGGATTTCAAGAACATATTTGAAGCACTGAATACTAATGACAGACAACCTGATGAACTGTGGGAGGACATCAAGAACATTATTCATGAAGAAAACAAAAGTTCATTAAAATGAGGTCACCTTCATTTCCAAAGTATTGGAATAAAAGTAAATGAATAGTTTGGGACTGTAAAAACCAAAATACTCTACATTGCCTTGCAGAGTATATTTTCTTGTGCCAGCTTGGAGAAGAAGCTTTGGTGGCATATTGGAGTATACATTGGATTGTTGACCACAAGGTCAGCTGTTTGAAGCCACCAGCCACTCCAGGGAAGAGAGATGAGGCTTTCAGGTCCCATGGCACTGGTGGTCTAATGGTTAGGGTTTGAGCTGCTAACCTCAAGGTCAGTGTGGCAGTTATATTTCATTTCAACTTGATAGTACCCAGCCTCTCAAACAAGTGGTAGCATGATGATACCTCCTCGGGGTGTGGCCTTTGATAAGAATGAAAGACATTAGGCACTGCTTTCTCTTTGCCCCTTTGCCTTGCTGCTTGCTGGGCTCTGTCTGCCTCCAGAGCCGGCGCCATGGCTGACTGACCGTGAAAGTTGTCAGTGCCCCGCCATGTTTCCACTGACCTTGGATCCTTGT